GTCTGGTTCACTGCGGGTGTATGTCATAAATGTCACAGAATTTGAGAACCTTCACGTTGTCTTCAGACGGGGTCGTTTGTGGTCTCTGCTGGCGGCCTCCCCTCCGGCGGCCGTGGATTGTGGCGGCAAGGTCTCATCGTAGCCTCCTGACCTGCCGCGTATAAGAGCGGGGCCTGAAAGGGGGTTTCAAAGAGGCCCCACGCAGCGTCGCAGGGGAGAGATTGATGACAAACCTGCGCAGAGTGTCACAACACGTTATGTCTTAGCGTTTCGGGAAATAAACTTATTGGAGCGTCAACAGGGGCAGTGGATCCCTTGTGTTCGCCCCATCTCTTGTCTCTCTGCCACACAATGGTCAGCGACGCAAGGGATTTATTAATTTAGACGCAAACAGAAAAAGAAAAGAGCGATCGCTCTGCTCGAGAAGAAAAGGCCGCTTGGGGAGAACAACTTTCGATTTGATATACGAAATTGTAACTTAAATACTTACAAAATAACTCTTGATAAGAACAGCATATTTCTAGAGAATCGTTTTGATATGGGTTTAAATCTTTAGAATGCCCTGCCGATGAAACAGTTATGAAGTACTTCACTTAGCATAACATTGTTTCAGATGCAGTTGGTAGGAAATATTAAGTTGTGATTAACACCAAAATTGTAATTCGTTTACTCCTTGCCGTCAAGCAGGACGAGCAGAGCACGGCGCCTAGCCGACGCGTTAAAATGATGCTGCTACAATTCCAGCCGCTCATGGCAGACGGAACACGCGAGCAGTCCACGTTACGGTGTGTTACGCGGTGCGGCCTTGCCCTTGGCTGCTCCGCTTTACCCGGCCAGAAAAGAGTTTCACTTTTTGGTTTCCGCCCCACGCACGCCAGCTCCCCCCCACCCGGTCTGTCTGGGTCTCTCTCTCTCTCTCTCTCTCTCTCTCTCTCCCTCTCCCTCTCCCTCCCTCTCCCTCGCCGCAGCGCGCGAAAGCAATCAGGACCATTTTGTTCCCGGCCGGGTGGAATGCTACCCTCCCCGGCGCCACGCGCTCAAAATTTGGCTGTGATGAATTATTTTCGTTTGCTCTTTTATTTACCAACTATATTTCCGTAAGACTTTTTTTTTTCAAAATTGGGGCTTGCTGACGAAACGTAAATTGTCATTTTGAGCATAAATACTCGCGTCAGACTTTCCTGCCAGCATGCCTCCCATCTTCTCATCCTGTATTTCCTCGCTGCCTTTTATTTCGTTTTTGACAGTCGCCTCATCTTTTATCGCCTAGCACCAATTTTAGTAATTTGAGGCGGCTGCCGGCCTCGTGCTATCGGGAGCAGAATCGCTCGATCACCTGATCGTTGGGGAGGAGGAAGAGGAGGAGGCCAGGGTGGTGTTGTAAGCAGTGTGCTGCTGCGCGGACCGTCATGCATAATAATAATTTGCGCTGCCTTGTATCCGCGACTTTGTTCAAATTCGTTGCGCGTTTGATCTTTCGGCGCCGCCTCTGTTAGTGCCCGTGGTGGGTACCCCCCGGCTGCCCCGCCCTGTTATTGTGGCAGGTTGCCTGTAGGCGACGGCTTCGATGGCCGTCGTTGTTGACGTCAGTGTACCTGGCAGGCTCTGTCGACCACCACACGCCACCGTCGTCGCAATCACCAAACGCTACGCACGTTTACTCTATCCCCACGAAACAATCGAAAATTGGTGCATATTATTGCTCATCCTAACAACAGGAACCCGCCCGAACGCTGGACGTCGTTCAGAAGTTGCGCTATTCACGACCGCAGACGGCCGCCGTGTGGTGCTGACGGTACGACGCGTAGTACTCCGATCGACGGGCGGGTTGATGGGTCAGACCCTGGTGGCCGCGACCGCCACGCGCCGCCCGCGCGCCGCCCCTGTCCGGCCAGGCTCAGCCCCGTCCGTCGCGCAGAGGCTCAACCTTTACATCGCGGGTGTTTTAAAATTAGCCGCGGGGGCCTCCGACAGCAGAGGCCGGCTGCCTGCCGGCTGCTAGGAGGCTGGGCGCTCGCCTCAGTCCGCCTCGCACCGCTCGCAGGCCCTCAGCTCGGCGCGTCCCGCGTTGTACTTGAGTGTGTCTGTCCGCGCCCCCTAGCCGTCGCCCCCCCGCCTGTCAGGCACCCTACGGTAACGACTCGGACCTCCGGCTGAGCCGCTGAGGAAGGGGTGGGGGCGCTGTTGTGGACCACGTGACGTAGGCTGCGTTGCCTATCCGACGCCAGGTGGATGGTTGCGCACCCCGACAGGGGTTGGTTGCAGACCCAGCCCAGCATAGGGGGTGGTTCCACGAGTGATAGGGATGGTTTATTGTTTCTATCACACGCTGTAGGTTGCCTGTCGCACTGGGCTGAAGTTTCCTACCATATAGTCTCTCTCATTTTTATGTGGCGCGTAGTTGTGTACGTGGACCTTCGCTGTGTAAAAGAGTTTGACGCGGTACACTACACCTTCTTACCGTCGTGTGTCATTCCATACTGACACATCTTAACAACATGTTTCCTTGTCAGTCACAAACGCTCTTCAACCCTCCCTTCTCTGTGTTGCAGGCTCATCGCGGACCTCAAGCTCAAGCTCGCGCAGGCCAACGCTGATCTCGAGAGTCTCGAGACTGTAGCAGCGGAGATCAACTCTCTGCGTTCCACTCTACAGTCCCTGGACGGCGAGGTGCGCGCCGCCTACGTGTTCGGCGAGGATCAGGACGCCGCAGAGCAGAGGCTTCAAGAGCTCGGTGGACGTGTTGACGCGAGCGTTTGCCGCGTCAAGAAGCTCGGCACCGACACAAAGCAGCGCTACACCGCGGTCCAGCAGCTCGTGCCGACGGAGCTCGCCCAAGAAGTTAGTATATTTCTCTCACACCCCTCCCCCCTCCCCCTTTCCAACCACCCCTTTCAAAACCGTATTCTTTCTGTAATCACGCTTATAGAAGAGAGTGATACAATACAATCTGAAGTGCTCCCCGTAAACGTACTCTTTTATGACGATTCTTGTTGATTGTGGAGTGGTACCACCTGACGGCAGTGCAGGGTTGTCTCATTGACGACAGTACAACAGGTCCAAAGACAGCGTGACTCACGCCCTCCCTCTTCCGCCACGCCGCTGGCCCCGCTCCAAGGCGCCCAGGCGAATAAGCGTGGAGATTTATTATTAGCTGCCCAGTACTGCTATCTGTGTGTGTGCACACAAACACACAACAATGTTTCCTCTCGACGACCACCATCGAATGACATTGTTTAAGGATAGAATATTCATAACCCCTGCCGCTCCCGCTACACAACTTTCTTGTGACCGCCTCACATCTTCGATTGCTGACATGTCATGTTATTCTCTCTTCTAGCTCACGTCTCTAGAGCTACTGTCCGAGTCGGTTAGCGCCGCCATGGAAGAAAAGGACCGGGACCTGAAGCGCGCGCGCACCGTACGATCAGACTATGTGCGCGACGTAGACGCGGTGACGGCGTGGATCCAGCGCGCCGAGCTGCGTGTCCAGGACCGGTCGGCCGAACCGCAAGTACTGCGGGATCACCTTCAGCAGGTGCAGGCGGAGATAGGGCCCACGGAGGACAGGTTGGAGCGACTTAGCCGCAATGCCCGCACCATCCTGGAGCACACACAGGACGAGGAGGAAAAGGCACGCGTGCAGGCCACGGTGCGCTCTCTCAGCGACCAGCTACAGCAGGTGCGTACCTGGCTGCATGACAAGAAGCAGCAGGTGGGAGACTCCCTCGACGCGTGGGCGAGGTTCATGTCACTGCACCAGGCGGTGCTTGCTTGGGTCGAGGAGCAGACCAAGTTCCTGGCCACCCCGCTGCACCTCGACTCTCTGACGCAAGCCCGCCAAAGACTGCATGATTACACGGTAAGGGAGCGTATTCAGGGCACGCACTTTTACTTCAACCGATTGACTTCTAACTCTATTTAACCTATTTATTTTTCAGACTGCGCTACGCAGTAGTAAACAGGCTGGCAAGAATCTCAGTGACATGTCACGAGAACTGGAACAGATAGGTCAAGTCACGGCTGTCGGCGACTTACCTGAAAAATTACAAGCTGCAGAAGAAGCCAAGATGAAAGTGGAGACGTTACTTTTAGAAAGGGTAAGATTGCCATAAGTATCAATGGTGAAAGTAGAGACGTGATACTGTACCTGTTCATCAACTGATGTTCTCTATTTGTATTAGAATGCGTTACTCCAAGAAACGAGTGAGGAATGGGAACGATGCGAAAGAAAAATGAAGGATGTGCGTTCATGGATGGAGAAAACTCAGCAGTCGTTAGACTCGCCACAAAACAGGAAACGTCCCCTGCGAGACCAACACGCAAATAGAGAGAAACTGCTTGCTGATGCATCAACCCAAAAGACAAAAATTGCCTTATCTGTGGAAAAACTCCAGGTCCGTATATGCTAACAGTAAATGCGTTGTTTTTGCTGGTGAATCCATTTTAAATTTTCTGTGTTTGTTAGATTCATTTTCGGTCTGGAGTGGGAGGAAATGGTAAGGTGACGGAGGAAGCTAGCCAATTAATAAACGAACTTGATCGACTGATGAACGACATCAAGGAGCAAACAACCACACTTGAGGCTTGTCTATCACAAATCGACACATATCAGCACGTAAGTTGCTATTCTTTTAGTTTGTTCTTCACCATGCTACTCATTAATTAAAATTTCGCGCTTCTTTATATATTTTTCAGGAGATTCAACAGCTGAGGACTCAAATTGTGTCCGTAGAGGCCCAGCTCCGATCTGCTCTTAGCCCCAACTATTCACCTCACGACAGAGATCGGGCATTGCATGATCAAAACGTAAGTATTAATTAATTTTACCTTACCCTCCCAACCGACACGGTAGTCCCTGATGAGTCAAGGTCCAAAGAAATGCCGATAGCTTTCGCTTTGGCATAATTCAGAGATAACATCTTAGTTTCAGATTAATGTGGTCAAAGCATTGCGAATACCGCAAGCTTCTTCGTGAGTTTTCTGGCAAGTGCTAGACTTTTCCCAAAACCCTTTGTGATGCCATATTTCCTCTTGCACCTTCATGTCGCCGTCCATTAATACAAATCGTTATGGTTTAAAGTGTATGTTGATGTCCTCTGTAAATGATAGTTTGAAAGCAATAGAAAACCTATAAGTAAACTATTTACAGTTGATGGAAATCCAATCGACAATGCAGCCGTACGTCGTGATGGTCGCAGTAACTAATTAATCATTAACTTAGTCCCATGCCACGACCTCAACGGTTCAGTTGACTTTGCAGACCTTACTGAATCAGCTAGTTCCTATCTGCACGCTTCTGAAGCACTTTTAAATTACCTTGTTTTGATTTTTATTGGTGCCTGTATTGTGCATGATTCATGTGAGATTATGTATGACCCACATTCCTCGTATATCTGTTACGATTAGTAGTACTCAATCAGCAAGAAAGGTACGATAGTATTCTCATAAAGCTTGCATTTTTGAGAGAGTGATTTTTGTATTAAAAGAAAAGTTTATTTATCTACCCTTAAATTGCATATTGACCTTGTTTTTTTTGATAAAGGAATGGACACTTATGGTTTTCTTTTATATTGTTATTCTTGTACGAACTCTACTTGAAGCTCATTTTATTTTACTTGTCTTCAAATGTGTACAGAATTTAAAGCCCTTAAACTCGGCGTATTGTCTGAATTTTTAAATGCCTGGTGGGTGCGTTTCAACCGCCCTAATTTTACTCGAACATATTCAGACTTATTTACTTGGTCTTGTGCGTCTCCTCTTCTTCAAGTTAGATTTCTTGTGGTTACATCCTTCCATCACATTCATAGTACCAGTTATAATAGCGAAGACGAAAGACAGCATTTGTCTTGGATTTCCTCAACCTTGTATCGATGAAGTGTTCCAAATAATATTTTCCGTGTTCGACTGTCTTCAGGGCAAACAATATAGGGCCATTACTTTCCAAAGTGCTCAGCTCGTTTACTGAAACTGGCTCTCAATTGCGATCTGAATGAAAAATTTCGTCGATACTTAAGCTTATAATGTTGGTGACCTGTCTTTCTAATACTCACAGCGTGTTTGATATCTCTCCTGCTCCCTTCCCCTTCCTGCAGGCTTGTCGTGAAAGAATAAACGCCCTTCAGAACAAGATCACGGCTCGCAATGAGCGAGTCAAGCTCCTCGCGCAAAGAGGAACGCCAGATACAGACCCTTTAGATTAATATACCCCCTCAGCAGCCCGAAAATAAGACTTTGACACTAAGACTATAATAACTATTACGATCATCATAGATCAAACCCAAACTGGCAAGCAATCGTGCTTGCCAGTAAGCCACCAGGCATTTAAGAAAGCAGCTTAATACAAAGAGATCTTAGTGCCTGGTGCACCTGTACCGGTCAGAAATATAATTGTGAAAATAAAACCATTTTGTTGTGTTGTTGGCACTTATATTCTTGGTTCTGGTGGCCACACACAGGAGATGCGCTTGCGGGTGGAGCTGCTCTTGGAGCAAATTCTTCGCATAGATCCAAACTGGAGTTCAAGTGCTTCAGCTGAAGGTTTGGATCGGCACTTCGTCTATGTGGAACCAGATGTTTCATACGCTGATATTGCAGCGGGTCGTATCAGCCCCTGTCCAGTCGACCACCAGCCCGAATTCAAGATGAAGAAACTTAATGTAAACGCCTCAAAGCCTGGAAACGACAATGGATTTGCAAGCTCACGGAAAGTTCTACCAGAAACTGTAAATATTTATTTCAATCGTCAGCCAAATGAAGGTTCCTCTGAGGTTCCCGAAAAAGCGTCCCATGCCTTAGAACAACCTACAGAGAATTCGGTTCCTAATCCAGCAATTCGACTTGCGATTTCTCCCGTGTCCATTGAAAAGCCGCTAGAAATTGAAAAGGGACCTACAAATAGAAAAAATATTCGTAGGTCCAGAAGTCCGCATGCTAGAGCTGTCCCTAAGTCAGAGGAGATGAAACAAGGGCGATCACGGACTCCAGTCGAGGTGTTTGGATCTGCTTTACTGCCTCCACAACCTATGCGATGTCGCTCACGAAGTCCACTGTTCATTCCTGGAGAAACTGCGTCTTTTGCTCAAATTCTTCGTGGAGCAAATGCGGACCTTGCAGCTGGCGAGCCAATTGTCCCAGCACCTTCTGTTCAGAAGATTGATATTGCTGGGGCAGAATGCACGCCATCGGTCATCACACACAGCAATCCTGCTGGGGATGAGCAGACCATAACCGATGGCGGCCACCAGATATGCAGTGCCTCAACTATTTCTAGCCTTCCAATGAATGAACCCACCGTTGTCTCAAAGAATATTGCTCAATCGACGGCTATATGCGTGCCGCACGATCAGTCTAAAAAGATACCTACATTTCCAGAAGAAGAGCTTTTTGTTGATAATTTGTCTTGGGTAGGCTCTCAACGACTTGATCAATCCTTCAAACCTCAGGTCCACCAACCGAATTTGTTTGAAAGTTCTACACAGTCTCCTCAATCCTCCAATCAAAGCGGTGGTATGGCTATTCAGTCTTCAGTCACACTTCATTGTAGTGAGCAGAAAAGTGCGGAGAAAACAGTCCCAGATGTTCTTGCTCCCGGGTTTTCTTATGCCACTATCCTTTCCCAGGGTCTTGAACAGGGAAAGACACTACCTACAGCACCATGCAAGAAATTTAAAAAAAAGGAATCACCTTCGTCACGAACATTAGCTGAGGTTGTAGAATTGCAGGCAACAAGTGGGAGTCTTCAGGATGGAAAAGATGACGACAGTGTTAAGTGGCAAACGCCCTCAAAGAAGAAGCATTCAGCTGCTGCCAAAAAAAGTGTCTCCCATCCGACGATTCCTGGGTTAGTTCTCGAAGTATCTCGGAGCAAGAAGGCACATCCACAGAGATCTCCTGCTCCTGCTCCAAGTACAGGTGTGTCCCACGTTGACGAAGATGAAACGGCTGAACCAGCACTATGCCAGACGCAAATTGATAACACGACGGTTGTCAAATCAAGGAAAAAGAAGATGAAGCTTGACAAGGTAAGGGTGCCTGCGTGCAGTAAAATGGCAGAAGAAGACGAGATAGAAAAGGCACTGCGAGAAATCGCTGCTTTAGAAAAGCCTTCCAAAAAGTCAGGAAAACAAAGCAAAGCAGCGCCTAAGGCGAACAAAGTGGCCGTTGTCGTTCAAGGACCTCATGTTGTTGAACCAAAAGAAGCAGGCCATGAGCTTGGTGCAAAAGATATGCTTAAAGCTACTCAGCCACGATCAAAGAACACGGGAGAGAGAAGCGTTCAGAAGCAATCTGATGTAGGGAAACAAGAAGAAACCCAAGAAATATATAAGATTGAGAGCCCGCCAAAAATGGAAGAAAAGCGAAAAATAAGGAAAAACAAAAAAGGTGCTGTCAAAACCGGAGATGTACAGGTGTGCTCGACCCCTATAGTGGAAGTGGCTATGGTTGGCGTGGACTCCAAGGGGTCAAAAGAATCAGCTGCTGCTGTGAAAACGCTTCGGAAAGATCAGAGATCGGCGACAGACTCTTCAGTGCTCGTTTCAGATGAGCCTCCGGCGGTCTCTGTAAACGCCCCTGTAAAGACGTTTGAGTCTGGTCTTGGAGGTGTCCACCAGCCTTCATGTTCTAGCAAGATTGAGGAAAAAGTCGATACCAGGGATCAACCTACCGACCCGGCTAGTAAAAAAAGTAAGAAAGATGACCTCCAGGAAAACCTTACGGAACTCAGCACGGACTGCAAGAAAGAAACCAAATCCGCTAGCATTAAGGGGAAGACCACTGACAAAGTTAAAGTCGAAAACAAAGGTAAACGTAGCGGGCAGAAGCACACACAGAGTCCCCCACAACAGAAAAATGAAGAATTATCCTTGTCTCTTCAAAGCAGCTCCAACACGAAAGAAGGAAACAGGTTAATAGAGGAACCGGAAGGGGCGAATCTGATCTCCTCTGAAAATACATCAAGTAATTTGCCCCCGACTTATGATGTGTTCGATGACGGCCCCGTGCTCGTGGTAAAGGCATCCTTAGAACCAATTCGTAAAACTCAACTGACAGCTCGACAAAGCATCCAAGATGCCGTGAAACAGTTATCTGTTGCAATGGAGGAAATGGTGGACCAATCCTCTACATCGAAAGGAGAACCTATACCTTCAACCGCGTATAACCGCCCTGCCATTGAAAACCAATTAGAACAGCAGAATACACATGCGGCCAAGCATATAACGGGTCAGGCAAACCAAAATAAATTAAAGAAACCTGCAGAAACAGTGCCGTTAAAGCTCCCTACGACGTCGAATGACTGGCTAGCAGCTCTTGACGAGCCAATTACATTGGATGACGATGACAAACCTGCGCTGACGACCCAAAGCGGTGAACCTGCAACGACGGTCTTCCAAATGAAGCTCCCAACGATTTCGGACGACTGGCTAACAGCTCTTGAAGAACCAATTACACTGGATGACGATGAAAATCCTGCGCTGATGGCCCCAACCAGCCAACTTGCAGCGACAAGCGTATTGTCTCCGGCCAAGGAACCTCAGCAGACGATGAAGGCGCGGGAAAACCAAGCTGAATCACAAAAACCTGCTGGAGCAGTTCAAATGAAGCTCCCTACGACGTCGGATGACTGGCTAACAGCTCTTGAGGAACCAATTACACTGGATGACGATGAAGAATCTGCGCTAACGACCCAAAGCAGTGAACCTGCAACGACAGTCGTAATGCCACAGGCCAATGAAGACCAACAAAAATCAAAGAAACCTTCAGGAATCGCACAAATAAAGCTGCCAACGACTTCAGATGACTGGCTAACAGCTCTTGATGAACCAATAACATTGGATGACGATGACGAACCT